TATATACATGTATTGTGGATTTATACTTGGATATAATCATGCACAATACATGAACATATATGCTTAAATATAGCGTTTTATATTTTATATTCTCTGCATTTATTCTTTATTCCTTTTTCATTTCATGCTTAAAGATTGATAACATTCTACAATTCTTTGTTTAATCCTGATGTGATGTAAATCAATTAGAATACGTTATCAATTTCAAGTTTACCATGTTAATTAGATTCGATGGAAATAACCGTTAAATAGGAAATACAAGCGGATTTTTCCGTTCAAGTTAAAATTTATAGTCCACCTGATTATGCTGAATATACATATATACGCGCAGTAAATTATATATAATTAATTTGAATTTCTGTTATAAATAAATTTCAAATTGATGAACACCAGATTCTTGATAATTCTTGTGTCGGATTTTTCAGTAAAATAACACAGTGTGCAATATTGTTCTTGCAAATTTGGCCTCAAATTCATGGAGTAGTTCATCTATGTCATTGTCTAAGTCTTCACTATTTGCCAACTAAAACATGAACATTTGCATATTATAAAATTGAAATATTTCCAAATATAACTAAAATTTAAAAAATATGTAATACCACTGTTACTAGCTCGCATATAAGAAACGAGCCTACTGTGGCCTCTTCGTGATTATCCTGAATATCAATATTAATCAAATGCACAGGTTGATTATCTTCTTTAATTTTAGATTCCATGCATTCGATAACTTGATCATATACACGTTCCTCGCATGAAATTAGAATATCAAACTTATCCTTGGACAATTGAAATCGTTCCGGTCTAGGTTTTATTCGACGGTTCCGATCCAACATATGTAGTAAACCATTCTGTGTATAACTGCACTAATTATTAAGGGATAATTAATATAGAAAAGGTATAGCATTATATAAAGAAAATTCTTTTTTTATTTAAATAAATTAAAATTAGTAGCTCAATAACAAAAAATTTATAAAGGTAACAAACAAAACAGATTTATATTTTTAATATTATATATATCAGAAAAGAATCAAAAGGCTTATTTATATAAGGATACTATTGCTTGTCTTTCATCAATAAATCATTATAGATCTCATCATATGAAGTTCCAAAGTCGTAGATATTAGGGCGGTCTGGTGCAGTACCAGGTAATTTGACCTTGTCTCCAGTTCCAAATGATTTCACATTAAATCCCTTTTTGCTGAAACATAATCATATTTTCAAATGAGATGCACATTCTATGCAACAACCTTGATTTCAATTATTAAATATTACAATATTTTGGGGATTTAGCAATTTGAGAATAAGTAGCAAAAATTGCATTCTACAAGAAGAAAGATACAAATCATCGAGGATGCAATCGTCAATGAATTAATCGGTTTGCACGAGGTTAATCATTGATTGATTGATTACCTCAGAAAAGCATGTGCCTCCATGCTCCTGTTCATGTTACTGGAACATATTACAGCTACGCTGATGGAATTTGGTGCTGGCATTTTTCCGCGTGTTCTACCAACGGTAAAAAGGCCGTGATAGTCGTGAAATCGCCTAACCAAAGATAATTTCGCGTTTGAAGGTTATATTTGAAAGGTTACAAAGGATGCATGTGATACGCGACGTATAAATTTTTTATGCGAGTGTAATTTATTTCTTTTTATCTGAATTTAATCGAAATGTAATGGAGGCGCAATGCAGCCCGAGCGAACGTTAATCATTCCCCACGGCGAGATGAAATTATCCTAACGGATTATTTAAGAGCAATTACGGGAAAATCCCGAACGCTATCACGATCCACGACGATCTGTTCTCTAGTCTCCGCTTTCCGCAAGTCTCCGTCTCTTGGGTTTTTTGCTCCGTCGATAAAAATAACAGAGACGTTCTTTAGCGACATCTAAACAGATAAATGTAATACGATAGTTAAAAAAAAAACCGTTATTGACAGAAACACTGGGGATAAAGAAAATAATCAAACTCGGACAATAAAACATTAAAATTTACGAAACTAATCAATCATAAAATTAATAATTATCAATTTTTTACTCTCAGTCACTTAAATACCTCAATAGGAACGCAAACTTCCATAAGAATGTTGGTTTTTAATATATAGTTACCTCGTCAGTGATAAGAAAATATAATTGATTATATTTATTATTTTCACATTTAAGTGAAATGTCTTTTATAAGATAATTATATTTTGTATATATAATATATTAAATCTTATCAGATATAGTAATTAGTCAATGATCGACTATATTTACACCATAATCGGACATCCTTAATCAGATTTAATAACATCCGTAGTTATGAAACTAGTCAATTACAGTCGTTCTATTCTTCCGAGGAACATGATTGACCAATTTAATAACTATGGATGTTATTAAACTCGATTAAGTATCGTGTAAATGTAGTAAATTGTTATGTACGTTTTGTATATACATATATAATTAAACAAATATTATATATTATGATCGGCGTGGTCCACTGAGTCGATGTTTGGCATCATGGCTTGGCAATTCAAACTGGTGCAAACTTCAAGCAGTTGAAGCGCGTGTGATTTTGAAGGTATACTTCGTTTTGGCGCATGCATGCGTTCTTTGAAAAGTGACTCGTTTTATCGCGTGAACGAGATTCTTCGAAAAGTGCTTCGTGTGTATAAACGTGCTCGTTCATCATACTTTTCGCCAAGAAACGCTGGGAAACCGTCCAGAACCTCCATCCTGGTGAGTACAGTTGACGCATTTGTTTGCCGAGGTTATACATTATCATTTTTATGTATATCTTTCAACCATGCATCCATTTGTTGTGTGTGTGTGTGTGTGTGTGTGTGTGTGTGGTGTGTGCGCTTTATTTTTCATATACCATTCTTTTTAGGTTTTAATTTTTGAAGTTTGACGAGAAGCAATTAATATATAATATATCGACTTGGAAATGGGATAAAAATATATCTACACTGAAAAAAAATATAGTCAATTTTAATAAATATTTAGTTGAATACTGCCAACTAAATATTTATTAAATATAAAGATATATTTATTTGATACAAGAAATGTTAATTGAAATGATTTAACAACCATTTTTTTATTGAACAAATATTTACTTATTGTAAGTAAATGTTTAGTTGGCAGTATTGAACTAAATATTTATTAAAATTAACTATATTTTTTCTTAGTGTATATAAATTATAATAACGTTCACAAGACATAATTTAAATGATGAGGAACTAATAGATTGTTACTTTACATAATTGTTTATTGTGCCAAATTATGATAAATTTGATTAATTTTTTATGAGCGATTCGCGATGAGAATTAAGGTATTGAATCGGCTCTAGGTTATCGTCTTTCTACACACAAATTGCACGCGATATTCGCGCGCTCTCGAGTCGGGGAGAATTAAAAAGGCTCGTCATTAAATTGCATAATGCCGGTCGCGAATCTGTTACAAAACCACGAAATAATGACTAGCGCCGTATACTTGGTCGGGATACAGTCGACGCGACTTGGGACGCTCGATGAAGATTGCGTGTCTCGAACTCGGAGGCCTGAATTAAGGCGGGGCCCAGGCTTCGACGAGACTTCAATTTCGCGCTCGATGATTCTTGCAAGATTAGTGCCCGGTGTCGCGATCCTCCGAAAGAGAACGTGAATAGTCCGAACAGATTTGACGAGCGTTTCGAGTAAGGGAGATGCGATCGACGGAACGCTAAAATTACATGTATAATATCACGATTATGTACTGTTGTTTCTGTCACATCATCCCGTTTTTGCCGCAATCTTCTGTTCAATAACCGAATATTCTTTCATCAACTTGAAATCTTTTTTCTTCAATAGAAATATATTTATATTGTAGCTTCCGAAATTATTATACGTATATTTAGTGAATAAAAATAAGAGTCTTTGATGAATTAAATTTTGAAAAAAAAATGAATAAGGAAGTCATATTTACTAATTTATTTAAAATCAATTTTTCTTTTCAAAAACTTTATGCTAAATATTTTATTGCAAAATTGTTTATCTATCTCTATTATTTCAAACTGATTAGAATTGTCTAAAAATAATATTACAAAAATAAGACGTTGTACTTATTCAGTATTAATTTTTACTCTATCGGCTGTTACGAAATCATTTTCTGTTTCTTTTTGTTCCTTAAAGGAGGACATAATATAAGAGGAGGACAAAATTCCTTTTAATTTCCTTTTAAATATTCTTTATAAATTTTTTTAGTGATAACATTATCTGAGAAAACAAAAATTGCGATTTATAGTTTCTAATCTTTTTTTTTTATCGTTTGACATGAAATTATTTAAAAACGGATTGTACATATTTTGTCGGCACGTGATATTGTAAAAATTAACGCGAACGACGTCAAGTACATTTAGCTCATATTGCAGCATCCGTGTGCTCTCGTTCCGCGGATCATCCATGGGTGCACATGCACCGTAACTTGTACGTACAAACAGATCAACGATGAACGAAACCAATTTAGATCCATAGCTCGTCTCTTTGTACTGACCATAATGGCGCGTGTTATGTGCTCCGCTGCACCTCGCATAATGATTGCTTTGCCAACCCACTTAGGTGGAAATATTTTCCGGTGATTGTAATGTTGCGTATCGACGACGATCTTTTCGAATTTTTACAATATATTTAACATTTTTACATATTTTACGTCTCACTGATTATTAATTTATTAATTTATTAATTGCATTGCGGCATTTAATGCCACATGCGTAAATAATGAAAAATATAATAACGCTTTATTCTTTTATAAAAATTATTTACTAGTTTGCAAGAACTAAATTATACCAAAGTCTATAAATTGCATAATAATAATAATGTTAATCTTTATTATACGCCTTAGTTTTTGGCACCCTTACTACGCACAATGGATCCTTCGTGTCGTGGATTAATTTTCATCACTTTTACAAGTATATAAAAATTACTAAATTACAATTTTTACGTACAATTTTAACATTTTTAGAAAATATTTGTAAAGTTGTTATTTATAGTAAATTGTTATACACAATTGTTGTATATAATGTTGTTATATATAAATCAAAGAAAAGAAATGCGCAAGACACGAATGACTCAAAGGTGTAGATTAAGGATTAAGATGTTCGATTTTAATTCTTTATTTCAACTCTTTATTTAGAGTCCACTGAAAAAAAATCACGTCATATATGATGAAATCATGTAATTAAAACACGTAAATCATGTAACGAATTGTTCCCAATACGTGATTTTTTTAAATTACGTAATTTGGAATATCACACGATAATGTTCTTTTTTCTTTTATCAGTCATTTCTATCACTTAATTCTTTAAAATTTGACAACTATAAAATGACATGATGAATAAAATTATTTATATTCTAATATTATGTGATTTTTCAAATTACTTCATTTAAAAAAATTACGTACTGATTTGGAATAATTCATTACGTAATTTGCATATTTTAATTAGATGATTTCATCATGCAACGTTGTGATATGATTTTTTACAGTAAAGTTACGTTTTTAATTGGACATTTCTCTTGCATCATAACGTATTTTCTCGTTCAGAAAATAGACTAAAAAATACATAGCAGGATCGCTAAATATATAGAATGTGCAATCGATTGTTCGTGTCTCACACGATAGTCATAAATTATGTTCTACGTGCTCGAAACCGAAAACGCACAGCCGGATATGCTTAAACTTAACTCATGGATATTAATGACGAATACTCCGCGACCATGAGAGACCATCTAACTGACGTCCAGCAGATATCATATGCATAAATATAATGCACGAATAATCAAAAGTTAGCCTTACGGTGCAACGCTCATTAAATTATCTCTCTTTTCCTGAGTGCGTTCCGCGTTCCGAATATCAATGTTACGCGTCATGTTGCTAAATCATGCCTATCTGTCTCCGTGTCGCTCTTTACTCCTGCTAAATCTATACCAGGAATGACTGCGCGATGTCAGTTCAACATCAAAATCAAGTGGAGCGAGATAAACTGGGATTAGTAATGGCGTAATTGTGATATGATTGATAAGCTTATTTATTTTTGAATCAAACTTGACAATTTTAAATTCTATAAAGAAATCTATTTTGCGGTTTTAATTATTTATGTACATCAATACGTTAAATATAGCACTTCAAAAATCAACACACACACACACACACACACACACACACACACACACACACACACACACACACACACACACACACACACACACACGTATTCCTTACAAAAATTGGCATTTTTCGTGAAAGAAAAAAATTGAGAAGCAATTGCAAATTTTAACGCGAATGATGACAAAATAATTAAAAATAGCTCCCTCAATCTCTTTTTAGTTCACTTATAATAGGTTTGACTTATTTATTATAGACATTTTTGATGTCATGATATTACGAAGGCTTCATAAATCATAAGGCAATAAGAAATTGTACGTCTTCATTATTAATACTGAGTTAGCTAATCTCTCGTAAGACTCGTAATAATAGTTAATAAATTGCGGCTAAAAAGAAGATCGCCTTTCCTTCGCACCTGAACCACATTAATCATAGATTGGCCAATTTTACATCGCAACGGTCGATTCTGTGAAAGTCGGGAAATCGCGACCGGCAGAGCGGAAACGACGACTCTTTTGCGGAGAGAGGATACGACGCGACTGCAAGAGATCTCTCATATATACCGGAACTCCATGAAATTTCTTCAGTCGCGGAATCGAAAGTTGTCGTTTCTAACTCGATAACTAGAATTTCCGCATATCAAAAGTTA